ACAAACGGATTTAGACGAATGTAAAGCATGCAAAGAAGACTGTAAAACTCAGGATTTCTTTGAAATTATATACCAATATCTTGGGAGCGATATTTTCCAGATAACAACATCTCTTAGGAACAAATATTAAAATGTTCTAAGGCACTACATCCATGAAACTGAGTTGCTAAACTTCGGATAATAAGAGCACTATATAAGGTTTTTTTCCACCAATATTTTTCATGTTAAAGATCACTCAAGAGTCCAGTTAGTGGCCTAGGTGTATTCTTCGGATCTGATGTAGTATACATACTATTTTTAACCTAAACTTATACGTTTTTAAAGTTGTTTATATTCTAAAATTTTATGATATCTATTAATTCCAAAATCGTGATCATGGTATCATGACCGGATAAAATGGATGGATTATTTGTTTCTTAAATTCTTAGTCGAGGTTCTTCGCAGAGAGAATCAGACATAAATTCCCTATAGCCTGAGTTGCTAAACTTCGGATGATAAGAGCACTATATAAGGTATTTTTCACCAATTTTTTCATGTAAAAGATCACTTAACAGTCCAGTTAGTGCCCTTGGTGTATTCCTTCGGATCAGATCAGAAACCTATAGGTTTTTAAAGTTGTTAATATTCTAAGATTTTGTAACATGTATCTTTCAATTCCAAAATCGTGATCGTGTTATCATGAACGTATAGAATGGGTGGATTATTTGTTTCTTAAATTCTTAATCGAGGTTCTTCACGTCAGGTTTGCGGAGACTGAAATATTCTCTATTATTATACGGAGAAAGTATTATTCTTTATTTTTAAAAAGTAAAGTTGTAAGTCCTAAAACGTGATCGTAAAAACATTTTCAATTAAAGAGAGAGAGAGAAGAAGGAGAGAGAATTAGACATAAATTTCCTATAGATGAGATCGGGTCTTTACTTATTAAATTCCAGATACAGAAATATGCTTCGTTTTGCAAAATTAAGTTCCGCTTGAAGTTCTAGAAAAAACATGTACTGAAGAACAAGACTTCTCATAGAGAAAGTGTGATTCTTTCTTAAAATTTCGTTGATCACCAATTTGATCTCTACAGTTCTAGTTTGTTGGGCTGTTTAGAAATTTCATACACTGAAATATGCATCGTTGCCCAAAATGAAAGTTTCCGAAGTTCCGCTTGGAGTTCTAAGGATAATAAGTCTTAACAACAGGAGCCTTCATTTTCATTGATTTCATATAGAAAGTGTGATTCTTTCTTAATATTTCGTTGATCACCGATTTGATCACTATAGTTCTACTCTGTTGAGAAAAATTTGAAGTATTTTAATTGACATCAATATCACGCCATTTACCGTACAACTGAACAAATTATTGATCTAAAATAAGCGTCCAGTTGGGAAATCACACAGGTCCATCTAGTGGTCACAGTAAAACTTGTGCGCAAAATTTGATCAAAAGAAGAAACATTTCGAAAATTGTTGAAATCGATCGGCATCACTTAGCCTCTGTATAGATGTTCTCCCGGAATATTATTTCAACGCTCCTAGAGTTATCAATCGAGATACTATATACAGCAGCAAATCAGACACTATATTTCATATAGGGAAACATTTAGTACCAATAACTAACCAAAATATAACAATAATTTTAATCCCTTTTGGGATTAAAATTGAAATTTAAAAGGAAGCGGACAATAGTAACGCGTCAACATCAAAGGATTGATGCTTACCGAAATCATATGCATGTCAACATGTGGGAAATGTCATCATACAAGTCCGTTAAACAGACACAAAATCTACCGTTAGCTCTTTATAATTAATGTCACCTGACTTTAAACAAACAGGAAACAAAAGGAGACATTACAAAATTTTTAACGTTAAATACACACATGAAGACAATAATGATCATGATGACCACTATGACTTTTGCAAAAAAAAAAAAGTGAACAAATAATAAAAAATAAATCCTGAAAGTCGCCGCCAAAAAACAAATGACCACAAACGTTTAAACTAACAATAGGCGACACACAATAACTACTATTAGCAGACTAACGGCATATGATTGAGACATTATGAGTTGTCCACAAAAAAATGATCTTAAGACCAAAATACCGCCATTACCAAGGCTGCTGCCAATTAACGGGAAGTGTATTGATCAGTCTAAGAAGCGATTGTGTGAGAGTTAGAAAATATTTTAAAATTTTTGCATATTTTTTGCTGAGTCAATATCAACAATAGCTAGAGGTCCTTAGAGATCTCAAAAGATCACATAGTAGTACATATGTGTGCTTGCACTTCTCTTCTTTCCAGTGATCGTAGGCGAGCGTGTAAAAATGCTATCTATTCTTTTACATATTAGTTGGAAAATTATGACATTGTTTTTAGTTTAGGCATGAAATTTCCTTAGAAATTCTTTGTTATCTTATCATTTTGTAATAAGTTTCCAATGATGTGAGGAAAATTTCTAGATTTACACAAAAATAGCCATGTAATAGTGGGCATTGTATAATTTCTTTTTCGTTTAAAATATTTTTAAAATCATTAATTATAAAATTTTTGTTTAGTTTAAAACTACCGTTAATATTTAAGACAGTTATGGGAATTATTAGGAGGATTGTGAGAGTTTGTTTCTAAAAGTGACAAAGACTTTAAAAAAATTTCGCATCTCTACTGGTATTTTCTTAGTTAAGTGATACTAATTATATTGACGATATATTAAAAGCAATTACAAGACCTCTAGTTTAAAAATTGAATCGTTATCATTAACCAACCCAACAGCTTAATCTTAATTTAAATTTCTGCAAAATATCGCCATCTTACTGTCAAACTTATCAAAAATTCAAAATAGCTATCGCATTTGTCGCTTTATGTAGCTAGACGATACATGATAACAGCGCCCTCTTTTGTAAAATCGCATCCGTAATATTGGTAAATGCAACAGCGAAATCTTCATTTTAATATAAGCGAGATATCGCAATGAAATGTTGTAAACAGATCACTGAAGTCCAGACAAAATTATAGTCCAGAGTATAGAATAAACTATAGACTAGAATATAGTTCAGGAAATTCACAATGGATCATAATAGATTGGCCTATCAATTGGACAATAGACTAGACTAACTATAGACTAGACTATAGACTAGACTAGACTAGACTAGACTAGACTATAGACTAGACTATAGACTAGACTATAGACTAGACTATAGACTAGACTATAGACTAGACTATAGACTAGACTATAGACTAGACTATAGACTAGACTATAGACTAGACTATAGACTAGACTATAGACTAGACTATAGACTAGACTATAGACTAGACTATAGACTAGACTATAGACTAGACTATAGACTAGACTATAGACTAGACTATAGACTAGACTATAGACTAGACTATAGACTAGACTATAGACTAGACTATAGACTAGACTATAGACTAGACTATAGACTAGACTATAGACTAGACTATAGACTAGACTATAGACTAGACTATAGACTAGACTATAGACTAGACTATAGACTAGACTATAGACTAGACTATAGACTAGACTATAGACTAGACTATAGACTAGACTATAGACTAGACTATAGACTAGACTATAGACTAGACTATAGACTAGACTATAGACTAGACTATAGACTAGACTAGACTAGACTAGACTAGACTAGACTAGACTAGATAGACTAGACTATAGACTAGACTATAGACTAGACTAGACTAGACTATAGACTAGACTATAGACTAGACTATAGACTAGACTATAGACTAGACTATAGACTAGACTAACTTCAATCCCACCAAATGATTTAAAATATCTGTTGGTTACATCAATCTTCATACTATTTTCCTTCACAATATCACATTCTGTAACAACCATTATAATTCACAAACCACCACCAACTACTTACGTGGTTTCCCATAACAATTTAAAAATGTCTATCATTCTACAGCCATAATACTTTATATGTATGTAACCCCTATTAGATTTTCATCATGGTTATCGGCACGTGACGAAATATGGGGCTTTGTGTAGTCATTATTCATAGAAAGGGTGGTTACTTAATCGTTATAAATGTATTGAAGAGTATTAAATATGGCAGATATACAGTAAAAATGGGGGAAGAAATCTTTATTAAAACACAAAATTCAAATTATATAGATGAAGTCACGTGCCATAGGGAATTAAATGCATAATTCATATATTTTTAACAGAATATGGCGTCAAGTGTGGTGAGTGTATATTTTGGAAAAATAAAGTGCCAGACTTATCATTTTAAAAGTTTGTCTATAGTCCATTGTCGGGGTATAGAATAGATTGAAATCCACAGAATGTACAATAGACTAAAGAGTAGACCCTTGTTCAGACTATATGTATTCCGGACTATAGTTTATTCTATTATATATTCTGGACTTCTATGCCATAGTCTGGACTATAAACTGTTCTATCATCAAGATTATAGTGTAATCTATAGTCTGGACTATAGTATATTCTATAGTCAGGTCTATAGTTTATTCTATAATCTGGACTATAGTTTATTCTATAATCTGGACTATAGTTTATTCTATAGTCTGGACTATAGTTTATTCTATAGTCTGGACTATAGTCTAATCTATTGTCTATTCTATAGTCTGGACTATAATCTGTACTATTCTATAGAGTGGACTATAGATTATTCTATAGTCTGGACTATAGTTTATTCCATAGTCTGGACTAAAGACGACTCTATAGTCTGGACTTTAGTCTACTCTATAATCTGGACTATAGTCTATTCTATAGTCTACTCTATAGTCTATACTATAGTCTACTTTATAATCTATACTATAGTATACTCCATAGTCTAGACTATAATTTACTATAGTGTAGACTATAGTCTATTCTATATTCTAAACTATAATATATTCTATAGTCTGTACTATGGTCTGGACTATATTGTATTCCATAGTCTTGATTATAATCTATTATATAGTCTGGACTATAGTCTATTTTTTTTAAATATCAAACTACTTAAACTTCATATAACTATCCAATATTTTATTCTCAGATTTTTTAATTTTACATTATCAAGCATAAAATATTAAGATAACTGTAAAAATAATACTTTCATTATCCCAAAACAATTTCGCAAGAAATTTTGGAAAACTAGTTCCAGTTATTAACTACAGCAATAACTCCAAGATCTCTTAACGAAACTACTTTTGGGAAATAAATAATTTAGTAAAACATTTCAAAGAAGTTATTATCAGATTAAATATTAACAATTTTCCACACTAATTTTTAGAATTCTGCCAGTCCATAAAAGTTTCTTGGGCTATAACTTCGGCCCCATATAGTTCAGCACATATACTATCCCATAAACCTTGGGGATTATCTAAATTTTCCACAAAACAATGTAAAGCTTCCAAACATTCCAGTTCAAATGGTTCTTGAGAATCCAAATAACGTCTTAAAATGGGTAGAGAAACTTTTTGAAATTTCCCTATATCTAGACTATAGTTTGCTTGATCTTTTAAAGCATAGCTTGCTAGGAGGGGAGTTAAATTTTTTATAAAGTTTCGGGTAATGTGAATAATATTGCCATTAATGTAATCTATGATGAAATCAGGATGACAATTTTCTTTTAGTAGTTGTTGTATATGGTCCATAACACGTTTTTGTAAGATTTCTGGCGAATATTTATTGTTTATTATATGGGTATAGGATTTAAGAGGATTTTCTATAAATTCAAAGTTGTTGTTAATTATAAAATTATCCACTTCCATTTGTGGTAGAAAATCGGACCATTTTATATGATATTTTTGCCATAGATTGCGGGTAAACGAAGGACCCACTTCTCGAGTACAGTAGAGTATTAAAGTTTTCAGAAATTTTTGTTTAAATAAAGTAGTGCTGGATTCTTTTAATTGTTGCGGCCATAAATCATTAACTGTTATAAGATTTTTCACCAGTAAAGGACCGGTAAACTCAAATATGTAACGCCATAATTCAGGTATATCCACAATTAAATCACTGGCCAGATCGGCAAAATTTCTATAGGCCAAATGAAAATGTTCTAGAGACAAATAGTTATTCGTTATTAAATAGTTTACTACAAGAGCTAAATAACGTCGGCTTAAGGCTTTAATATTGGCTAAATGTAAATAGTCGGTTAGTATATAATAGATCAAGGGGCATCTGAGATTTATGGGTAAATTTAGAAAGCAGGTTACTGTTTCTGAGTCTATGTTTTTGGAGTTAAGGGCATTTTCTAGCATGTCAGTTATTACCGATTTGATTAGTTTTATTTCAGCATTATTGGGTTCTTTAAAATGGACTGGGGGTGGAGATCTCATTGCCCTAGAAGTACTGGCCTCCATATCATTACGATATTTATTTTGATTAAGGTTTTTAGAGGCTTTTGTCATTCTTGAAGGATTTCTTGTTTGATTCGACTTCAGCACCTCTTTTCTTTCATTAACTTCGGGTTTATTTTGTAGATGTTTTGCCTGGCTACCGTTACGTTTCCTTTCCTGCTCTGTGTAAGGGGGATATTTAGTAGCTTTATTAGCTTCCATGTTGGAAAGGACAGCAAATGAATTTGCCGCACTTGTTGCGGGCGGTGAGGTCAACTTTTTCCATTGAAACAAGGAAACTCCTCCCATTTTTTTATTATTCATATCCATATTGCTTAGACCCACTAGTTTACTGGAGTCCAACGCTTGCGAAGAATTAACTTTGCCCCCATGAACCTGCCATTTGTCATTAGCTTTAGAGTCTCTAGGATTTTGTTTAACTTCACTACCACTACCACTACCACTACCACCCGTTGAACGTTCCAAACGTTTTGCCATATTTAAAGAATCAGTTTTTAAGGATCTTTTGCTTTCTGGCAGAGAATTTGTTAAGTTTTCTGTTTTCTTGTTCATAGTTGTGGGATTATTTACTTCCTTTTCTATTTGTTCCATGGTCTTGGGGGCCTCATTACGCGTGGATTGCCATCGTTTTTTGCGCAAATCTATAACATCCTGCAGCATAAATCGTATACGTGAAGATATCTTAGAATTTTCATTTTTTACCGCAATATTTTGCATACGCTGTATAACCGATTTGAGGGAATATTTGCGTTTATCTTCTGGCGCTAGGCAAGTCTGTTCAAATTTCTGTCCTACGGTAGTCAAAAGTTTACACAAACATTCGAGCATATCTTCATTCGTGGGATCCTTGAGCAGGGCCTCTATACAGCTGTGTATTATTTTGCCACTTAGTATGGAAATTTTAAATAATTCCCCTATAAATCGCACTGTACCACCCGAACGCCTGCGTATTTTACGCTCTTCTTCGTTTAGCAAAGCTTCTAGCTCAATCTTTTCATTGGGGTCTTGACATTTATCATATTTCTCTCTTATCGGCTTAAGTTTTTCCTCTTTTGCATTGATTTTAGTGACATGATGGGTAAATTCTCGTTCTGTTTTATCCAGAAGAGCATTACGAAAATAGGCCAAATTTGTTTTAGTTGTGCTGGCCATACGTTCATCGCTGGCCTTGACCTCGCTTATCAATCGGTGGCATAATTTGGCATAGCAGAGAGAAAAATTCGGTTCATCTATGGCTTTTTCGAATACCAAATTCATTACCGCTTCCATTTTGTCCAAAGTATCGATTTTTAGTTTAATGATTTCTTCCACTAAAGGTTCAAATTTTTCGGGCGTCAATTTATTTAAAATGCCCCTAACACGTCTTATAAGTTCTTCCTTTTCTGGTGGCAGATTTGTGTCAGCTTCAGGGCAGTCTTTAGCCAGAACTCGAGGTTTCCAGGCATTATCACTTTCATTAAGTTTGACATCTTCTTTAAGGCATAAATTTAAATAAATCAAATCTTTGCCTTTAGACTTATTGTTTTGAAGAACCGAGGCTCCAGCTGTAGCTACTGAGGAGTTATTACTATTATTATTACGATTTGTTCTTGAATTTGTTTTTATATAGTTATTCTGTTGATAATTTATATAGCCGCTATGATTTCCTCTAGCCGATGTTATCAGATTTTGTGCCATTTTAGGGGATTTTGCTGCAAACGCTGGCATTAGATTCATGGGGGCAAATATTGAGTAATTTTTTACTTCAGGCTGCTGGCAAGAATGTTTACTTTGTCTTAGTTGCATTAGCTGTTTACGTGTATATTGTTTACGTTGTCGGGGGCTTGAGTTCAGTTCCCGATTTTCATAATTATCCAACAAAGATTCTTCTTTCACAAATTCGCTTTCAAATTTTTCATTGTCCGTTCGGAGATTTAATGTTTTTGTTAAGGGTTGAAGTTTAATATCTCTTGACTCTTTGACCATTTGCCGTTCCAATAATAAATCCTTTTCTACATATTCAGACTCAATTTCTTCAGTGTCTGTACAGAGATATGCTGTTAAGGGGAATGGAATTCGTTTACTGTTATGGTTAAAGTTTGAGTAAAAACTTACCCTGATTTAAAGCCTCTTGTTCCTCTAGTATAGAACTGGTATCGGTGCATGTATGAGCATCTTCAAAATCTTCATCGGTAGCCACGGTGTCAAAAGGCGTTTGTGTCGAATTTGTTTCTTTTGTATCATTTTCATAATACTCCTTAACCTGGTCCAATGTTATATCCTTATGTCTATTTTCAGGAATTTTAATATCGGTTGAACTTCCAGACCCTTCTTCTTCTGTCGTTATGATTGTTTTAGTTCTAAATTTTAAACTTGTTTCTTGTTCGTGGTTTATTTTCTCGAGATTTTTCTCAAGACCCTCAATTTTTGTAACAGTTATAGATGCTGCTTTATTTTCTGTGAAATTTAAAGAAGAACTGCTTACTCCAGATGATAATTGTTCTTTTTGCTGCAACTGTTGATCATTTTCAGCACTATCTTTAGGGTTTTCGTCTGAAGGCATTTTCTTTAGATCTTCAATATTCGGTATAATTTCCACACAAGCATCTTGAGTTGTGATTAGGGGAAATGCTATTTGTTCCGCTTGTTGACTGGCATCTTTATAGCTACATTCCATAGCTTTAATGTGCTCATTGTTATTATCCCCCGGATTTAAAATATGATCTTTCTGTTGCACCATTTCCAAGGATTTGCAAGATTTGATCTTTTGTTTTTCAACGATTTGCGTTTCGGAACTAGTTGCTCCAGCAGGGAACGATATCTCTTTATCGTTATTCAAATCCTGTAAAATATTTTTATTTGTCACCGGATGTATAATTTGTAAGGCGTGGGAGCGCAGTTTGGCCTTAATTTGAGGTTGAGTTGTAGGCATTACAGAGGGATTGGCAGCCATTCTTGTATTGCCAGCCAAAGCAGCGGCGGCAAAGGTCATACGTGTTGAAGCAAAATTTACTGATGGACCTGGGGCTGTTGTATTAACCATAGAAGAACTATTGGCTACAGCATTTAGGCCATAGGTTAATGGTGTTTGAACCTGAACCGAATTTTGTTGCAAGGGGCCCAAAACTAAATTTTGAGCAGCACTAGTATTGTTGACACTTATCAAGGAATTGCTCGGTGTTACCGCAGCATAAGTTAGAGAACTTTGATTACCTGGCGGACCGCCCACAAAACTGCCTGGCGGTAGAGTCATTGTAGCCATTATAGAACCAACATTACCACCTTGTTGCTGCTGCGGCCCTTGATGCTGCTGCTGGGGAAGTTGTGGCACATAATAGGGATAATACAACTGTGGATAAAATTGGGCGGTATATTGACACTGCTGAAGGTTTGGTGGACGCTGTGCTGCATAGGCGGCTGCATTAAATTGACTCATTACCATACCCGGATGCAGTGGAGGAAAAATGGCAGCTGTTTGTATATGACGATTTCTAGGAGTCGAGCCTGCGTAACTCTGCTGCCGATTATTATTATTACCTCCATAGGAGTGATTTGTTCTAGACTGTGCATTCGTATTAACGGATTTTGAAGTTCCATTATATGAACTTTTTGTTGATTGCGGTTGCATTTTATAAAAAATTAGTTCTTTTTTAAACCAAATAAAAAAACTACAAATTGTTTTGAAAACAATTTTTTGAAATTTCAATTTCAACTGTCAAATGTTAAAACGAATTTGGAAAGTGATAATAATGTCAATCAAGAAATAAAGAAAATAAGAAAAACAGAAATGATTAATACGAGGCTGGGTAACAGACTATAGACTAGACTATAGACTAGACTATAGACTAGACTATAGACTAGACTATAGACTAGACTATAGACTAGACTATAGACTAGACTATAGACTAGACTATAGACTAGACTATAGACTAGACTATAGACTAGACTATAGACTAGACTATAGACTAGACTATAGACTAGACTATAGACTAGACTATAGGCTAGACTATAGGCTAGACTATAGACTAGACTATAGGCTAGACTATAGACTAGACTATAGGCTAGACTATAGGCTAGACTATAGGCTAGACTATAGACTAGACTATAGACTAGACTATAGGCTAGACTATAGGCTAGACTATAGACTAGACTATAGACTAGACTATAGACTAGACTATAGACTAGACTATAGACTAGACTATAGACTAGACTATAGACTAGACTATAGACTAGACTATAGACTAGACTATAGACTAGACTATAGACTAGACTATAGACTAGACTATAGACTAGACTATAGACTAGACTATAGACTAGACTATAGACTAGACTATAGACTAGACTATAGACTAGACTATAGACTAGACTATAGACTAGACTATAGACTAGACTATAGACTAGACTATAGACTAGACTATAGACTAGACTATAGACTAGACTAGACTAGACTATAGACTAGACTATAGACTAGACTATAGACTAGACTATAGACTAGACTATAGACTAGACTATAGACTAGACTATAGACTAGACTATAGACTAGACTATAGACTAGACTATAGACTAGACTATAGACTAGACTATAGACTAGACTAGACTAGACTATATCGAAAAGTACGGAAAATTCAGTTCTTAAGTATGCTTTTTCAGTACTTTTCGATATAGTCTAGTCTAGTCTAGTCTATAGTCTAGTCTATAGTCTAGTCTATAGTCTAGTCTATAGTCTAGTCTATAGTCTAGTCTATAGTCTAGTCTATAGTCTAGTCTATAGTCTAGTCTATAGTCTAGTCTATAGTCTAGTCTATAGTCTAGTCTATAGTCTAGTCTATAGTCTAGTCTATAGTCTAGTCTATAGTCTAGTCTATAGTCTAGTCTATAGTCTAGTCTATAGTCTAGTCTATAGTCTAGTCTATAGTCTAGTCTATAGTCTAGTCTATAGTCTAGTCTATAGTCTAGTCTATAGTCTAAGTCTATAGTCTAGCCTATAGTCTAGCCTATAGTCTAGCCTATAGTCTAGTCTATAGTCTAGTCTATAGTCTAGCCTATAGTCTAGCCTATAGTCTAGCCTATAGTCTAGTCTATAGTCTAGCCTATAGTGTAGTCTATAGTCTAGCCTATAGTCTAGCCTATAGTCTAGTCTATAGTCTAGTCTATAGTCTAGTCTATAGTCTAGTCTATAGTCTAGTCTATAGTCTAGTCTATAGTCTAGTCTATAGTCTAGTCTATAGTCTAGTCTATAGTCTAGTCTATAGTCTAGTCTATAGTGTAGTCTATAGTCTAGTCTATAGTCTAGTCTATAGTCTAGTCTATAGTCTAGTCTATTCTATAGTCTAGTCTATAGTCTAGTCTATAGTCTAGTCTATAGTCTAGTCTATAGTCTAGTCTATAGTCTAAACTAACTTAACTAACGAACAAGAACGAACGAACGAACGAAGAACGAACGAACGAAACGAACGAACGAACGAACGAACAAAGAACTAACGAACGAACGAACGAAAAAGAACGAACGAACGAAACGAACGAACGAACTAACGAAAACGAACGAACAACGAACGAACGAAGAACGAACGAAACGAACGAACGAACGAACGAACGAAACGAACGAACGAACGAACGAAACGAACGAACGAACGAACGAAACGAACGAAAGAAACGAACGAACGAACTAAACGAACGAAAACGAACGAACAACGAACGAACGAACGAACGAACTAACGAACGAAACGAACGAACGAAACGAACGACGAAACGAACGAACGAACGAACAAGAAACGAAACGAAGAACGAACGAACGAACGAACGAACGAACTAACAACTAACGACGAACGAACGAACGAACTAACGAACGAACGAACTAATAAAACGAACGAACGAACAACGAACGAACTAACTACTAACTAACGAAACGAACAAGACTAATAACTAACTAACGAACTAACTAACGAACTAACGAACTAACAACTAACTACGAACTAACTAACTAACTAACTAACGAAAGAACTAACTAACTAACGAACTAAAACAACAAACAACTAACTAACTAACTAACTAACTAAAACTAACGAAAACTAACTAACTAACGAACTAACTAACAAAGAACTAACTAAAATAACTAACTAACAAACGAACTAACTAACTAACTAACTAACTAACTAACTAACTACTAACTAACTAACTAACTAACTAACTAACTAACTAACTAACTAACAACTAACGAACTAACTAACTACTAACTAACTAACTAACTAACTAACTAACTAACTAACTAACGAACTAACTAACTAACTAACTAACTAACTAACTAACTAACTAACTAGCTAACTAACTAACTAACTAAAGAGGCTCTCTCACTGCTGAGCGTAATACTGGGCTGATGCTCTATTGCAAGAACTGAAGCCGGAATAAGTATACTACCATTTGCCTCATCACAGCTCTGACAGAGTTTAACAGGCCGAAAGCAGGGTTACATCTAAGAAACTGCAACGGAGCGTACAATCCAACTGTCGAGACCTCATAACAACACGAAGTCACCTTTATTGCTTAAATTTTTTATATATTGCTATGTTTTTAGGATTTTTAAGGATATTTTAATAAGAATTTAAATAAAAATAAAATTTATAAAAAATTATTTTTTATTAAAAGCAATCATACAAAAATACAGTTTTAGTTTAAATTAAAAATACATTCCTCATTTGTTATCTTGATTTGCATATTCATTATTATGAACATCAGGATGATTTTGAGATTAGATCCTTTTATGAGAAGTTATGGATAAAACTTGTTCATATTGTAGCCATCGACATCAGGCTAGATCATCAGTAGCAAACTAACTGCATCAATACAAAATGGTGGTCAAAACATTTCAGCACTCTAGCTTCTCCCGTTTGGTGACTACAAAAGTTGAAATACTAGTGTCCAAAGTCTTTATAAATTAAAGGCAATACGATCCTTTCTAGCTTTTTAATATGTTCTAGTTGATTATGTTAGGGTATATTGAAACCTTTTAGATATTATTGGCAGCGAACAATCGGATATATAAGCACATATATCCGATTGTTATAAATCTTCTTAGGTAATACTACCGTTATACATAATTACATTATAAAAAATTCGTATATATTCTTAAATGTTGATTGATTTTAGCCCTTGCTTGGATGTGGAGCTCCAAATTTTAATATAAAACTTAAAATAACTACTACAAAAAATATAACACCAATATAATATGAACAATTCATTCCAGTATTTGAAGACGTTACAACACCGTCTGATTTTCGATCATTCTGATCGATCGAGACGATATGATCCTTTGTATCACCATTTCTTTTCGGCAGATTTCTAAGATCTTTTCTTTCAGATAATGACATTTTGGGTTCTAGAAAAAGAAAGAAAACAAAAATAAAGAAAATTATATAATTGTCTTCAACTGTTCTAGACCGAAGAAAACTAAAATAAATGTTTTGGATCTTTAGAATTAATCAATACTGTTATAAAAGTATGCCTATAGGGTCCATTATGTTGGATACATATTGGTCTGTCGATGCAGTGATAATGTTGGTGCATGGAGAGAAAAAACATGATTCAGCACGGTTAGGACAATTATTCTATGCTTTTTGTAACAATATTTTGTTGTCATAACAAAACAATTGTTTTTTATTGAATTTCATCAATATTTTGTTACTGTAAACATTTATATGTTTAAGGCAATTATAATTTTGAGAATGATTCTCTGAATAATAATTATTATAATAGAATAGTTTATAGGCTGAGTATATAATACAATAGTCTGGGCTATAGAATAGTCTATATTTTGGATAATAGAATAGTCTGGATTAGAGAATAGTCTATAGTCTGGACTATAGATTAGTCTATAGTCTGGAATATTGAACAGTCTATAGTCAGGACTATAGAACATACTATAGTGTGGACTATAGAACAGTTTGTAGTCTTAACTATAGAATAGTCTATAGCCTTGACTATCGAACAATCTATAGTCTGGACTATAGTACAATCTATAGTCTGGACCATAGAACAGTCTATAATATGGACCATAGAACAGTCTATAATCTGGACTATAGAATAGTCTATAGTCTGGACTATGGCATAGTCTATAGTCTGGACTATAGAATAGTCTATAGTCTGGACTATAGAATAGTCTATAGTCTGGACTATAGAATAGTATATAGTCTGGACTATAGAACAGTCTATAGTCTGGACTATAGAACAGTCTATACTCTGGACTATAGAACAGTCTATACTCTGGGCTATAGAACAATCTATACTCTGGACTATAGAACTGTTTATAGTCTGGACTATAGGACAGTCTATAGTCTGGACTATAGAACAGTCTATAGTCTGGACTATAGAACAGTCTATAGTCTGGACTATACAACAGTCTATAGTATGGACTATAGAAAGTTCTATAGTGTAGACTATAGAATGGTCTATAGTGCGGACTATAGAACAGTCTATAGTCTGAACTATAGAACAGTCTATAGTCTGGACTATGGAACAGTTTATAGTCTGAACTACAGAAAGGTCTATAGTCTGGACTATAGAATGGTCTTTAGTTTGGACTATAAAATGGTATCTAGTCCGGACTATACAATGGTCTACATGGAACATTCTATGGTCAAGACAGGAATA